TATTAGAAAGCGAGTTGTTACTATAATGATCCTAAAATTTAATTCTTATTAAACTCAGTTTACAGGCATGGAGAGGGACACAGCCGAGTCAAGTCCACCTTCTCCGGCATGCAGTAGGAAGGGCTTCTGGGGTCCCTGGAGCTCTGAGGCAGCAAGCGCTTTGCACACACAGGGCCCTGAGTTGCCTCCTCAGCACCTAAGATGGCAGAGGTTTCCTCCTGAGTGAAGTGCCCGACCAGGGACCAAAACCAGCCCCAACCTCGGAGGGCAATGAGGGGTTCTAAATACAACCAAAGTATGCATGAAAAGCAAGGACTAAGGGGAGGATGGTTAGGCAGAGGAAAATGATCCACCCTTAAAGGTTCCCAATTACAGCAAGAATGGGCATCGAAAAGGAGTAGGGTCAGGGAAAAGCACCTGACCCACAAGCTCACCCCAATCCTGGTTTTGTGACCTTAGCAAGCATTTCACTTGAGAGACTCAGTCTTGCATGTACCACAGTCAGCTTGTGGGGCCAGGAAAACACAAGCGTCCATTCAAAGCACCCAGCACCACAGTGGCACCCTGCTGCCTGCCTGATGAGCCCACGCCAAGAACTTGATCTCAGAAGAGAAGGAAAGAACACAGGACTTCAGAGCCTCTTGATGCTGCCTCAACTATGGTTCAGTTATGCCAGAGGGATCCTGATAAGAAAGTATCTCCCACAGCAGGAGGAAATTGAGCTTAAGCCTGAAGTGCATGGATCAGAGATGACAAAGAGCTTCCTGAAAGTCAGGGTTGTCAAATTAAATTAGAATGATTTACGACCATTGTGCCAAGTTCGAAGAGGCAAATATCTGCCCATCTGCCTGGGCTGACCAAGGTGTGGCATAATGAAATGGGCTGGCATCAGCCAGTCACCCTGGCAAATGGGCCTGGAAAAACATATGCTGAGAGCCAGGACTGGATGCCACAGAGCGAGTGGAAACTGACCATGGAGGGGAGATGGGTTGTCCTGGCTTCAAAAGCATTTGCAAGCGTTGGTCATGAACTGTGCATTCACATGCACTTTGAGGCTCAGCTCTGATGCAGAAACCCTAGGGGGCCCAGTGAAGGTGCAGAAGGAGGGAGGAAATCAACAAACACTTAGAGGAAGGAGGCTGAAGGAAGTGAGCGCACTCACGGAGTGAAGTTGGTGAACTAAGACACGCAGAGATGCTGGAAGAAGCCTGCCTAGAGGGTGTAGGGCAGAGGAGGACCCTCTGCAAGGACTTAGTCAGCATTCCTCCCTCAGACAAATTTTGGACCGCAGTCATGTGGGAAAGACCAGAGCCTAGAGATGTATCCCCTGCCCATCAAAACCCAAGCAAATCTGTTGCACTTCCAGAGGACACCACTAGGGGCAACCATGGCTCCCAGGTGCAATGGAGCAAAGCCTTCGGAGAAGTAAAGGCCCTAGAGAGCCCTGGCTGTTGCAGCAATCTCACTCCTGAAGGCCTTAGCCCTCTGCAAGGAAAGTGAGGCAAGGAGCAACTCCCTCTAATGGAGCATTCAGTGGCATCACCTGGGCCCACCTGCTGCGAACCTGCAGGAGATCCAGAGCTTGAAGACCCTACTAGTCTGGATAATAGCTCACAGCCCCCTGGGGCTGCAGGTTAAACTCAGGAGGGGCACTGCTAGAGTACAGACCTGGACATTTCCCAATATCCCCTGGGAACCCCCCAGGTCTCTCTGCCTGTGAAGACCCCAGGTCCCCTTCCAGTCACTCACCTCTTCTGTTCACACTCAGTATACCCTCCAGGGCGTGTAAAGATAGCATCGCTACACTAACCATTATGTGAGTCAGAGGAGCCCTTCCTTCCCCAAGAGAAACAAGGCTAAGTCACCTCAGTGCCGAGCCGCCACCACCCAGGCATGCTGCTCACCCAATATCCTGGGAACTCTTATGACCCATCAGAATTGCCACTGAGGCAACGTTATAAGGCTCATTTGTCCTAAGGGGTCAGGAACCTTTTGAAAGGACATAAGAGAAGACACTTAAGAGTCAGGAACCCCAAACTGAAGTTAAAGAAAAATTCTAGGTATCTGAAACACAAAGGCAGGACTTCCAAACAGGGGTAGAGACGACCACGTGGAGCCGAAGGTGGAGACCCTAGAATGGCAGGAAGAGTGTTTGTCCTTCTTAGCCATCACCCAGAGGTGGAGGGTGGGGGTCACCAGAAAAGCATCAGGACAGACGCCTGGGAGCCTCTGGAGAGCTTGACTCCCTCGTTCATTTTGGCAAAGTCTTGTTATGCTGTACAAGTTGTTCTCAAACCCCCGGACCCAGACCAATGTCCCTCTCCCATCTCCTGAGTAGCTAGGACTACCGGAAAGCCCCCGACCAGGATCCAGTCTTTCAAATAGGCTCTTTCAATCCAGGCACTGGACACATGTCTATAACTCCAGCACTCTGGGAGTGCTGGTCAAAGCTGGTTTGGGCAATTTAGCAACTTAGACACAGTCTCGAAAATAGCATGAGGGGCTGAAAAGGTAGCTCAGAGGCATAAGTGCCTGCCTGGCAAGTGCAAGGTCCTGAGTTTGATCCCCAGTATTGAAAAAAAAAAGTATGAGACTATAGCTCAGTGCAAAAGCCCTGAGTTCAAGCCCCACTACCAGGCACAGAGACAGACACAGAGAGACAGAGAGAGACAGAGACAGAGAGAAGAAAGAGAAAGATAGAGAAGAGAGGAGAGAAAGACAGAGAGACAGAAAGAGAATCCATGTGCATGGGTGTGTGCATGCCCCTCTACTCTGCACAACCCTGTCCTTGTTAAGGCTGTTGTGTCCTCTCAAAAGGTTGTTCTCTCCTCTGCTCAACAGACTCCTACTCATCCCTAGAGTCCCAACACAAAGTTTCCCTCCTGCAAGAAGCCTCCCCTGCCTCCCTCCTGAGCATCCCCACAGAGCCTGGTCCATGCCTCCTGAGTTTCTTATATATTACCTTTCTGTTTCCTGCCTCCTCCCCATGGGACTCTTCCTTATCTGTAGATTCCCAGGACCTTGTCCAGGTGTACAGGCCAGAGGGAGATGGGAAGAAGGGAAGGAGGCCCTGGTGCTGACCCAAGGCCCTCGTGGCTGGGCCCAGCAGCCAGGTCTCCTGATGTTTATTTGCCTCACATGACCTGGTATTTCCAGCTTGTTATGTATCTTCCCTACTTTGCGCAGGGGGACACAGCTCCTACTGCTACCTTCTAGAAACTTCTGGAACCTCATTAAATCAGATGGCCCTGCTTGCCCCAGGATGTGTGGATTGGGCAGGACTGGGCCTCCTGAACTTCCTGCCTGCTGAGCCCCCACACCAACCCCACAGAAAGACCCCCCCCATGTCAGCTCCTGAAGTGGTCCTCTAGCTGCTACTGGACAAAGGTGGGGTTTTTTGTTTGTTTGTTTTGGGTTTTTTTGACAGAGGTGTTTGATCCTCAGTTCTACCTTGGACAGATAGACACCTCCTTCCCAGCTGTGAGGTCAAGCTGGGAGCTTGATGAGGGCTATCTGCACCAGGGGAAACTGAGGCAATGGGTCTCCAGCTAGAGATGGAAGGAAAGTCCAAGTGACTGGGAAGAAAGATGCTATCCAGGCAGTCTACCTCATGCAGAGGATGCATGAACACCAGCCCCACTCAAGACCCATTAGTAACTGAGGCTCCCTCAGCTCCATGAGCTGCATTCCCCCTCTCAGTTGTCACAGGAAGCTTCTCCCCATCACACAAAAGAGGCTCTGGGAAATGGTGGATGGGTAGGGATAACCAGACTGGGCCAGGTGAGAGCCAGGGAACAGGACAGCCCTGGTGCCAGCCCACACAGTGCCAACCACACCTCTGGCTTCCAGACTACTTTCCCTGGGAACTTCTCACAGGAGGCTGAAGACAGCCCCAGGGGCACTGTTCAGTGGAGCCTGGCCCTCATCCAAGAGGGGAGGAAAGGGGTTAAAGCCGCCAGTCCCCAGGCCAGCCTCCCCTGGCAGCTCTCCCCAAGCACTGTAAGTCCAGGCTTGTCTCTGCGTCTGCCTGACTTCTCTTTTGCTTCTTCTGTTCCTTCTGGTAGACAGTGGGAAGAGAGGCTAGGTGCCCAGGGCAGCAGGCCTCTCTGGGTTGTTATTTATTACCACCTCTGCCTTGTTAATGCTCCCCCTCATTTCCACTCTTGTCATCCCTAGATATAATATACCCCCACCACCACCCTGTGTGGGAGGGGAGGCAGGAGGCCCTTTCCCACCATGACCCAGTAAGATTGGGCTTCTGAAGGTGTTTTGGACGCACTGCATATGGAAGGGGCTGTGTTTGCCACCGCACAGTTGTGAGCAGGAGGCAGGCCACAGGACAGGCTCTCAGACCTGGTCTGGTGCTCCTGACCATGGGCTGGGGGCATGAAAAGCCATTCGGCCCTTCCTCCAGCAGCCACTACACTGGTGAAGACTGGCCACTGGAAAGGACAGAGTAGGGTGGAAAGGTGCCCCCAAAGCCCCTTCTGCCCATCATGTCTTAGGCAATAGGAGAAGTATTGGGTCAGGGCTCAGCCTGGCACCTGACCCCCTCTGTGCAGCAAGGCAAAGTCCAGGTGCAGCCTTCCACCTGGTTGCCAGGGCAGGCAAGCAGCCTACCAACAGATAAGGGACACACTTTGGACTCCACTGTCAGACAGCAGCAGCAAATGTGCCTGTGGTCCCTGGGTACCGCACAGGGCACCGTCTTTATCCTGCTTGCTCCCAGCCTCTGGTGCCTCACAGGGGTCTGGCTGGGAAGGGAGGGCGCTGAGCAGGTGGGCAGTTCGTTCAGGTGCGAACAAAAAGGGGGCCGGAGCACGCTACGAAGTTAGCTGTCTGCGCAGGGAGGCAGTGGCTCTGTTCTCCCGGCCTCTTGGGCTGTCCCCAAGTCCGGCCCGGTCGATGCGCTGAGCGGTGCCCGCGGACAGGGGCGGTGCTACCCGGTCCCCGCCCCGCTCCCGCCGCCGTCCCCTCCCCGCCCCGCGAGGCGCCGGCCGGGCCCGCGGGCCGCTGGGTCCCAGTCCCACGTTACCACGCTAGGCAGCGGGGCTGACAACGCCGCGGCCGGCCGCAGCGCCGGCGTCCCCTGAGAACGGGTGCCAGACACCTGCACGCACAGGTGAGCGGGAGCCCTGCGAGCAGGGGCGGGGCGGCCGGGACGGGCCTAGGAACTGGAGCTCAGGGCAAAGGCCTGACTTTGGGGGGGTCCGGGTCAAGGCTGGAAAAGGTTCCTGGGCAGGGAGAAGGGGAAGGGGCACACCCCTAAGAGGGAGGGGCTTGGGGCCGGAAGGATGGTGAATCTTTTGGTCTTCTGCTCATAAATCTGAAAGAGGGGGGCTAAGGAGGACTTGGTCCAGTTGGTGATGGGACCCACAGCTGTGCAGGCTCCGGGTCTGCCTCCCTGAGGGGGACATTGCACTCCCTGGCCTGGCTGCTTAGAGTGCGGGTCTCAGCCCGGGTATAGAGGAGCAAGGACGGAACACACACACACACACACACACGTGTATTCCCAGACCCCAGCTCTCCGTCTGGGCCTCTCTCTAAGACCCCCGCCTCACTTCCTGTCTGTGGCCAGGAGAGCCCCGGTAACAGGCCGGTACCCCTTTCAGGGAAGGGCCTGACAGGGAATATTGTAGACTTTGTCACCTGTCGGTCACCACTAGCTCGAAAGACAGTAATGAGTAAAGGTGCCCATATTCCAGTCAACTCTGTTTGGGGGCATATGGAATTTGAATATCACACTAACTTCACTTTTCCAGAAATGTCATTTTTCTTTTGACTTGTTTTCAACTCTAAAAATGAAAAACGCCATTCTTAGCTGGCAGGCTGTACAGGAACAGACAGCAGGTTGGGTGTCTCCAGCCATCCTCACCCAGCTCAAAGCCTCCCCACAGCTCTGTGTAGGCATCTGGGTACGAGGGGAGTCGGGTCCTCAGCACTACAGACTCATCTATGACCTTTGCCCTCTGCTGCTCCTAGGTAGACCAGGTGCTTTGTGGCCCTAGGAGAGGGGGAGGTCATACCCAAATGTGCACACACATCAGGGGAAGGTCTATCTCTGAGAGGCTTTCCACTCTACACACCTGATTTACCCCAGCTCTCCAGGTCATAGAAGAGGCAGCCATGCTACCACCAGTGCCAGCAAGTGGACAAGTCCTCACCCTCCTCCACCTCACCTTCTTGCCCCTCCTTAGTCTCCACCTGGTACCACCCACTGATCTAGCCTTGCCCTTCCATTCTCTTCTCTCTTGCAGCCTCAGGGGACCCCCCTTTTTCCTAATATTGGAGCTATGACCCTTGGGAGGTGACCCAGGAGAGAAAGGATGCAGGCCCCTAGTCCTCCAGATGAGGGCCCCCTACAAGGTCTTGTGGCCTCCAGAATTGAGACCTATGGGGGCCGGCATCGGGCCTCCACCCAGAGCACTGCTGCTAACCCCTGTCCCCGAGGAAGCCCTGTACCGGTAAGTCCAGGACATGCCCCAAAGATGACCTGGGTGGGGCAAGAGGGAGGACACCAGCTGTGAAGTCTCCGTCCCCTTACAGGTTTATCAGCAGCTCTATTCTTGTCCCTCACCCTCCTCTTCTTTCCCAGGCATTGGCTCTCAAGATTTCTATCCAGGTCCCAGATAGAAGGGGCAAGAGAGGCAGTGAGACTGGAGCAGGGGGTACTGCAGGGGCTCCCCTGGGAGACAAATCTGAGGCACAAACCTGCGGGGAAACATACCCTCAAGGTCACGCCTCAATTTGGGAAGACTGAGGGCTCCCAGAGATGCACTTTCCTCTGAGTCAGGACTGAGGAAGAGCAAAGGTTTAGGGTTTCCCCAGCCAGGCAGGAACACTGAATGTGTCTGGCTTCACCTCCAGCTCCAACCTGCCTGGCCCACCTCCACCTCCAGCCCAAGGAGGAAATTTGTAGAGGCCTCCAACCCCTCCCCCCAACCTTGAAGACAGTTCCTCCCTGCTGGGGTATCCCCAGCCTCCCTGGAGGAGAATTTGGCCCCTGGACACAGGGACTTTTCCAGGCAGAGGATAGCATGGGACACTAGGAAGTGTGGGTAATTCAGATGAAAGAATGTGACCGGGCCTGCCCTGGGAGACTTGTGGCGAAGGCCTGAGCTGTCACAAGGAAGAGCAGCCACTCCCAGCTGGATGGGACCCAGGCTGCAGGCCTCTGAAGAAGAGACTGCACATATATGAATTCTCATCCTCATGGATGAGGAGGGCTGGCCATGGCAGGGAGGCCACGAAGGACTCTGGGTGCAGCATGCCCTTCATGGTGTCCTGCAAGCTCCAGGGACAGAGAGCACTGAGCAAGTGGACAGATGCCAGGAACAGATCCCAGGGCACACACAGGCATGTGTGTGCCTGTGGGACTTACCTGGAGGAGGCCACTACACCTGTCTCAGGCCCCTGGGGAGCCAGATGGCTATGGCCTTGCCTAACTCAGCTTGGCCTCCTTGGCAGCAGCCACCATGACTCAGGGCTGCAGAAGGCCACACCAAACTAGTCTGAGGGGACTGCTGAGCCAGCCCAACCTGTGTGTACAATGGGGTATCTAGACCCAAGTGTGGCCTCTGCTACCTCTCTGGAATCCCCAGAATTCCCCCATTCCTCCTACAGGACCCCAGTCGCCGCCGCTTCCAGCACTATGTCCCCTTCGCCAAGAGCCCTGGCCAGGCCCGAGGCCTGTATCCCTTGATACTGCGAGAACCAGAGCCTGAGAAAAGGCATGGAGTCTATTTTGCAGTCGGCCCACCCTACTCCCCCAGGCTTAAGGTAAGGGGTGCTCTGCTTCTGCCCCCATAGCCCAGCTGCAACATCCTACATAGATGCAGGCCTGGCAAGCCCACAGGGCAGGAGCCCACCCAAGGGGTCAGGCGCAGTGCTGTCCCCAGACCCTCTTCGGGCTTCTCTGCATGACCTTTGCACTGGACCTCGTACTCCAGACCTTTCTGTACACTCTAAAGGATAAAGTATTAGTACTAAGCTTCCAGCTTTTGCAAATGCCCACATCACAAGCGAGGCAGTAGGGCCCTGCATTTCCACATCTCAGCTCCTCCAGAGGGCGAGAATTACCGGTTACCTGCATTATTTGGTACCAGAAAGCAATTATAAAATTTAAGCCATGCTGTTTCATAAAAATGTCGGTCTTATGGCCAAATGTCAAAATGCCTGAGACTTTCCTAAGTCCCATGCTGTTTTCCACTTTGAAGACCTCTCTGAAGAGTCTGACTCTGTGCCCCAGCCCTCTTGGGAACCAGGAGACCCCTTCTGCTCAAGGAGCTCCAATCAGGCCCTGTCCAAGATCCAAAGCTCTTTCAGCAGACCAAGGTGCCTCTCCAGCTAGGTTCCAGCAGGGCTTATTCCCCTGGAAGTGTAGCCAAGGTGATCCCTGTCCCCACTCTTAAGTCAGTTCTGTTACACACACACACACACACACACACACACACACACACACACAGAGTCCTCCCAGATTCAGGCTGACTGGGTGTTGAGGATGTGGCTGTCCCCTTGGCGCTTCCAGGAAGTCACCAAAGCCCATCAGCTGGAGACGAGGCTGCGCACCTTCAGCATGTTTGGGATGCCCCGCCTGCCCCCTGAGGACCGGCGGCACTGGGAGATGGGCGAGGGCCACGACAGAGGGCTGACCATTGAGAAGTCCTGGAGGGAGCTGGTGCCTGGGCACAAGGTGGGCCTCAAATAGTGTCTTTTGCTCGGTGCGACAGACCCACAACCCACAGTCTCACTTCTGCCCCTGAAACAGGAAAAGCCTAAGAGGGTAGGGTCAGGTAGAAAAAGACCAGAGACAGCAGGATCTGGCTCGAATCCTAGCTGCACCACAGCCAGCCCTCGTGTGCAGAATGCAGGAGGACATTACCACCTGCACACTAGAGGACGGGCCCAAGGTGAAAAGGTCGTGGGTGGAGGCCTTTTCTACATGGTACCTGCTGTTGCTGTCCTGCCCCAGTGAGCCAATGTATTCCTCCCCCAGGAGATGAGCCGGGAGCTCTGCCACCAGCAGGAGGCCCTGTGGGAGCTGCTGACCACGGAGCTGATCTACATCCGAAAGCTTAAGATCATGACAGATGTGAGCCTGAGCTGAGCCTGCCTCTCCTCCCTCCTCCCTTCCTTTATCCTCCACCCCAGCTCTCCCAGATCAAAAGGAGCAGGTCTCCTGGGAAGGGAGGGCCAGGACCCCCAGAGGGCCTTGCTAGAGATCTGGGAGAGTGGGAGCTGGTGGGTTGGTGGCCTGATGGGCTGGGCTGGGGTTTGGTGGGCAGAGGTCAGGGCTAAGCAGCCATCTCTGTCCTTGCCTCCAGCTCCTGACTGCTGGCTTGCTGAACTTGCAGCGAGTGGGGCTGCTGACAGAAGTGAGTGGGAACTCAGAGGGCATCCTGCACATATCGGGTGGGGCCACAGGGGGTCCTCCTACAGCCCAGTTTGAATTCCTACCACCCCACTTTCTGGGACACCTCTGCCCCTCCTATCCCCAACTTGCTCTAGACCCTTAGAAGGCCACAGGTGTTCCCTCCGCATTTACCAGGACTCTGCCTATGGATGCAAGGGAAACACAGGCCCCTTACACAGGCCCCACCTGGATGGTGGGGGTGGGTGAGAAGCCCCACCACCACCATCCAGGCTCATGCCTTCACCTGGCTCTGTGGTCTCGCCCAACAGTGACCTGTCAAGGGCCTGCTGCTGAGTTCCACCCTCTTCTCCAGGTGTCAGCTGAGACCCTATTTGGAAATGTTCCCAGCCTCATCCGAGCCCACCAGAGCTTTTGGGAGGAGGTGCTACAGCCATTCCTGGAGCAGACCCGCATGTCAGGCCAGTGTCTGGACCCCGTCATCCTGAAGAATGGCTTTCTGACAGTAAGCCTGGTGATTTTGCCTCCTCTCCTGCTCTCCATCCCACAAGTGTCACCTGTCCCAAAGATACTTAGGTCCTTAGAGGCCCAAAGAAATGAAAACTCAGGGATAGTTTACACCTGCGCTCTCATCAAGTATAGAATTGTATCCTTGGTCAGAAATCCATCAGCTAATAGGGGGGTGCAAGGATAGTGCCTAAGCAGGGGAACCCTTAGGGCACAGAGTCCTGCAGTATGGAGAAGAGTGATAAGCCAGGGTAGTACAAGGGCCCAGAACCAGCCTTTCTTTCACAGCTGTACCCAGCCCGAAGCCATGGACACTGCAGGAAGATGGTGCTGTAGGATGGAGAAGGGATAGTCTCCCTGGAGCCTTGGTGCCCCTTCCATAGGCGCAGGGCTCCTGGGCAACCTTCAAGTCACAGAAATAGGAGCCCCTGTGTCCTAAAAACAGGCAGGCTGAATTATTGATGGTGCAGAGTAAGTGCAGAGGAGCAGGCATAGCGGGCACAGGGGACAACAGGAGCTCCGAGGGCAACCATTGCCACCCCAGACTCAGCTGCTCCTGGGAATACAAAGGGGACCCTGGCCGGTAGGACAACCCTGGGAGAAGTCTAGGAAAGAGCTTCCCTAAGGGGCACCTTGAGGCTCTCTGCCACCCTGCTCTCTTGATCTACAGCCACCACCTGTGTTTGTGACCTCTTCCCTCTGCCCACTCCCCATTTACCTGCCTCCCCCAGTTTGGCCAGAGGTTTCAGCCCTATGTTCAGTACTGCCTGCAAGTGAAGCAGACCATGGCCTATGCCCGGGAGCAGCAAGACACTAACCCTCTCTTCCGTACCTTCGTGCAGGTAGGAGCAGAGGCCCCAGGGAGAAGGGTGGGTACACCCAGACAGCCAGGAAACCCACAGTGTCCAGCTGGGTTCCAAGCTGAGCTTGTCACTAGGGTGGGCAAGGAGGTGCTTGCAGCCTCCTGAGCCCTGTCCACCTCTCTGGCAGTGGTGTGAGCAGCACAAGCGCTCGGGGAGGCAAACCCTGGGGGACCTGCTCATCAAGCCCCACCAGCGCATCACCAAGTACCCACTGCTGCTCCAGGCTGTGCTGAAAAGGAGCCCTGACGCTCAAGCCCAGGAGGCCCTGAATGCCATGGTAGGTTCTCCAGCAGGGCTACGTCCCTTGTGCGCTGGGGCTGGTGAGTAGGACTTGTTCTTCAGGTGCGCACAGGACTGATCACAGTTGTTTTGGATGCCATGGGTGACACTAAGTATGTGGGTGGTGCAGAGCTGAGCTGTCCCTCCTGCCCCCAACCCCAGATCTCAGCGGTGGAGTCCTTCCTGCAGCACATCAATGCACAGGTGCGCCAAGGCGAAGAGCATGAGAGCTTGGTGGCTGCAGCCCGGCGCATCGGTCCCTACGAGGTGCTAGAGCCACCCAGCGAGGAGGTGGAGAAGGTGAGCCAGGTCAGAGGGAAGAGGGCTTGGAAAATGCAAGTTTCCAGGGAAAATGGGGAAGGTGCAGCCTGTCCTTGGGCATTCCTTTCGGGTGTCAATGGTCTGGGGAGAGAGTTTAGAAAATTAAAAAGGAGACACTGAGGTCCTTGCTCTGGCTTCTCGGGGGAAAGGTAGAAAGAGAAGGTAGACATTCCTGCCTCTGCCATCCTCAGAACCTGCGTCCGTTCTCTACCCTGGACTTGATGTCACCTGTGCTGGGGGTCTCCATGGAGCATACCAGGCAGCTGCTATTGGAGGGACCTGTGCGAATGAAGGAGGGGCGAGATGGGAAGGTAAGGGAGCCTTGTTGGCTGTGAGAAGATGGGGGTATCTGAGGGGGCGGAGTCAGCGGAGAACTCGGGGTGTGTGTGTGTGTGTATAACAGGTCATGGTTCAGACTCAATTTGGGTTGTTTATGTGACTTTGAGCCCATCCCTTTCCCTACCTATAAACAGAGAGCTGACCAAACAGCCTCCTTTCTGCCCTAGCACCCCTCAGCTGTGCCCCTGACCCTACACATGCCCACATGCGAGTCCAGCTCCCCTCAAAGCCCTTCCCCTGGCTCCAGCAGACCCACCTCTTTCTTTTCTGGCCTACCTACAGCTGGATGTGTACCTGTTCCTCTTCTCTGATGTGCTCCTGGTGACCAAGCCACAGCGCAGGGCAGACAAGGCCAAGGTCATCCGCCCCCCTCTCATGCTGGAGAAGCTTCTGTGCCAACCACTGCGAGACCCCAGTAGGTCTCTCCTGTTGGGAAACCCAGGATGGGGGTTTCGTGCCCTTCCATACCCAAAGGTTCATGCCCATTACAGCCAACCTTCTCCTCCATCCAGGCAGCTTCCTGGTCATCAGCCTCACCGAATTCCAGTGCGTCGCCAATGCATTCATTGCACACTGTCCCACTCCCACAGACCGAGCACAGTGGCTGAAGAAGACACAGGAAGCCCAGGTCTGTGAAAGCCATGGGGAGGGACGGGCAGTGGCCCTGAGGTTGAGGAGCAGACCAAGGCGGGGAGGAGCAGGAGGAGGAAGAAGTTGGGCTGGAAGCCAGTTCAGACTGGACCATCTCCCCCTTGGGTTCCCCCCCCTCAGAAGGGGACAGAGCCTGGACCATCCCTAAGATAGCCTGCTCTGGTTCCTGAGACAGCTGCTGAGTCTTAGTAGCTTTTACACCATGAAACAATTACCTACTAAACTCCATCTCCCACTACTGGAGCTCTTGCTGGGTACAGACATGGGGCTGGGTACCAGGGAGTCGGAAGAGAATAGTGCAGCATTCCTGCCCTCTGGGAGCCTAGGCTGCCGTCCAGTTAGAGCAATTAGTATGTCAGTGGAAGAAACGTGTCCCGAGGGACCTAAGAAAGGCATCATGCCTTCTGTCAGGCTCAGGTTTGCTGGGAAGAGGACAGTGTAGTGGGAAGGGCAGGGAAACACTTGCACCAGAGCTGAGGATGGACCATTTGGGGGAGAGCTAGGAGTACATGCAGGGGAACAGGTAGGAGGGCGGGGTTGTCCGAATGGAGAAGCAGGATGTGTGAGGCCAAGAGTAGGAAACAGGTGGTGTTGAGAGAAACCCTGACCTAGAGAATTGCCAGGGATTAAAGTCCAAGGGTGGACACAGCAAAACAGAGGTGGGAAGTAGACTCCTTCATGGAGATCATGCCTGTCGCTTAGCACTGTGCTAAGAACTGTTGAACTTTGTCCTATAGACAACATGGAGCCAGCAGAGGTGTTAAGCAGGGCAGTGATGTGGGCACATGTCTGTGATAAAAGCTGTTCAGAAAAGCGAGATCTCAGTAGAGCTGTCTTAGCTTCCACAGACTTGCCGGCTTAAAACAACTTGCACTAGGCTCAGTGACAGAGCCCTAGCATGTTCCAGGCCCTCAGTTCTATCCCCAGCACCACCAAAACAATATAAAATAAACCGGAAGCTATTCTCTCACAGATCTGGAGACCAGAAGTTCAAAATCAAAATGTTAGCAGGGCTGAGCTTGCTGCCCAACTCTAGGAGAGAATGTGTGCGTGGCCAGCCTCCAGTGGCTCCAGGTGCGCTTGCCTAGGCAGCTCAGCGCAGTCTCTGCCTCCATCTTCAGGTGCTCTTCTTCTCTGTGTGTCCGTGACCAATTTCCCTTTCCTTCCTCACATGGAGACACCAGGTGTTAAATTTAGATTCCACCCAAGATCTGTGTGTTTTCCTCCCAAGATCCTTCAGTTGGGGTCCCGGTACATCTACAGAGTCCCTCTTTCCAAATGGGTCACATTTTATGGGTCCTGGGGTCAAGTCTTAGACATATCTTCCTGGGGGCTTCTCATCAACCCCTGAGGGAGGGGAATGGGCACAGAAAGTAGAAGATCTGAGTTGGATTTGTTCACTTGTTTGTGGTGCTGGGGACAGAACCCCAGGCCTTTGCCTGTGCCAGACAAGGATTGTACCGCTGAGTTAGACGCTGAAGGACAAGGAGCAGTCTGAGCAGAAGGGAGGAGCTGCAGGGCTGGGTCTAGTTCTGAAGACGGATCACAGTTCTCCATGTTTGCAGCACAGCTTTCTCATGAGCAAATGGTGAGAGGCCAATGCAAGATGACCCAGAACTGCAGGAGGGAGATGAGATGCGGCTGAGTTGGGTGGAGGGCTAGAGAGGGGAGCCCTGCGTTTGTGGGCAAGGAAGTTGGCATGGTGGAATCAGTGTTTGAGAAGAAATGAGCTAGAGAAGAAGGAAAAATGAGTGAGATACAGGGAAATATGGTCAAAAGCCCATACCAAATGTACAAAACCCTTCATTCAAGCTGAGCACTGTGGCACACTCCTATCAGCCTAGCACTTGGGAGTCTGAGGCAGGAAGATTACAAGTTCAGGTAAGACCTGGACAATTTAGCAGCTTAGCCAGACTCTGTCTAAAAAAAAAAAGTTTAAAGGGTTAAGGGGCAGGTATAATGCTGTATGTTTGTAATCCCAGCACTCAGGAGGCTGAGGCAGGAGAATTACTGCAATTTCAAGGCCAGCCTGGGCCACATAGTGAATTCAGGGTTCTCCTTATGAGTTATGTAAGGAGAACCTGTCTGAAAAAAATAAAATAATAAAGGACTAAGGATGTAGCTCACTGTGAAGACTCTGAGTTCAATCCCCAGGATGAAAGAAAGAAAGAGAGAGAGAGACAGAGAGAGAGAGAGAGAGAGAGAGAGAGAGAGAGAGTCAGAGTCAGAGTCAGAGTCAGAGACAGAGGAGGGAGAAAAGAAATAGAAAGAGGAAGGAAAAGCAGGAAGAGTGGGTATGTAGCATGTTGAGAAGGCCCGGAGTTCAATCCCT